GGGCAACTGCATCAACTACAAGGATGGGGAAACACTTGCACAGGCGTGGAAGTATTTAATCGAGGAGTTCGAGCAATGGTGGTCGGAGGGGTGAAACCCGACGCGCACATTTATTTATTTACATCGTTGGCAACATCGTTACGACGGTCGGGTCGAAACACGGCCAGTCACCACCTGAAGCAGACCTCGGTGGAGGTCGAAAGTACTTGTGGAATTTACTAGTGACATAACACTCGTAAAAAAAAAAGGTTTTTTCGTGGGTTGTTATCACAGAACAATAGTTCAATACATTAGTCTAGTCCCTTACAGCAATTGTTTGGCTCTAATTAATGTCAGGTTTATGATGTTTATATACAGTAATTGATTTTCTAAATAGCTGAGATATACAAATTCATAAAAATTAAAATTTATTAAAATATTTGATTAAAATTTTTATATATTCAAAAAGTTTAAGATGTTGCTTGATTTAAAGAAATTATTAATACTTATAAAGATTGAATTAAAATATGTGATATAAGTAGACTTCATATATTTTAATTTAAATAATCTCTAAAGTTGACCCTTGCAGATTTTTAAAATTTCTTTTATACTTTTGAATTTTATTTGTGGTACTGATATGAATTTGTAAGGCTTGAATTTTTAAGATTTTAAAAATTTAGTAGATATTGTTATGTCAATACTATCAAAACATATTTGTTGCTTTGCTGCCATAAACAAGTTTTTGACAAGATGTTAGAATTAGAAATGTTAACATTATTTGATAAAGAAGCAAATTTTTTATTTACAAAATCTTTTGTTATGATGATTGCCAAGATACAAATTAGATTGAAATACTGTTAAAAATTTTTTAAATTTTCTTTCAGAATATCTGACATTTAATTTTATTTCAGAAAATTTGAATATGAATTAAAAAATTAATCATATTAATAATTCTAATCGTTATTGTTTAAATATCCATCTACATAAATTAAATTTACAAAAGGATGGACTACACATTTGTAAAAATACAAAAACAATGTGTGTATATTCATATTTAATGTTAAACTATCAGTTTTCTAGCTGATAATGCTTTGAGAGTGAGTACAACTGAGAGAGATGCTGTGAGACTTTTTGCATGTTGGAAAATTGTGGATTTAGCATGCAATTACAAAATTTTTCTTTTATGTATTTCAATTTTTTTCTTTGATTGCCAATAGCATAAACCTGAAACCACATGTACTATATTGAGTCTGCATATGTTAGCATCCTACTGTATTTAATTTGGAATTCTCCATTCATTCATAAAAATTTTTTTCTTTTTTAATATTTTAATAATTAAATATTTTCAAAATACAGTTTTTGAAAATCTTTTTTAATTGTTGAAATATTCAGAGAGATTTATAAATGGAAAAAATTTAAATGTAGAATCTACATGTTCTAAAAATATTTAAAATACATGTGTGTATTTATATATATGTGTTACAATTAAATTGATCAATTTGGTGAATATGCACAATAACCAGATTTATCAATTTATTCTATATAACAACCAGCAGTTTTGTGAATGTGATAAATTATACATGTTTTTGTAAAATTAGTCACATTAACCTGTAATTATGAACAATAACCAGCACAGTCTGATTAAAGTGATAAATCTCATGTTTCTCAGGTTTGTAGACTGAGACAGATTCAAGTTTGAACTTGTCTCAGTTATATATGATGCCTTCCACGTCTGATTACATATGTGCACAGTGTTCCCAACCCTAGTGAAAGTTTTCAAGGGGCAAGATTGGAGACACCATAAAACTGTGAGTTCCTGATGTTGACAGAAGAAGGGCGTGATCCAGGAACATTCTAGCGGACATTCTTCTGGTGGATGCTGATGGCAAGATATATGGTATTGGCATCAAAAAAGAGCAGTTGGCTGAAAAGTATTTAAGGAACCAGTTTGTCATTTGTCAGGAGATTTTCATTTTACAAGTGGAACTTCCCAATGTTATTGTGTCTTCTTCTGACTTTTCCAGAAAATTGTGTATCACAGGCAGTCAAGGGTACAAGAGTGTCAACTGCAAGGGATAATGCATTTCAACAAAATGTGGTTGCAAAAGACATGGAATACTCTATAATTTGAAATGTCATGACAATTTGTCCTGCTGTTCCAACAAATAGCAGGTTGTCATTTAAAAATGGAACAATAAAAATATTCTATACTTTATAAAATATTACTTTAGCCAAAAAGGTTTAGTTGTTATGTAGAATAACTGGTGAAAATAATTAATTGTGTGTATTTTATCACAATAACCACAAATATTATTTTGTAAAATAACCAGTGATTATGCTTAGTAATCAATTTATTAGAATAACCAAACATACATATGTATTAAATATATTTATATATTATATAATATGAAAAATTAAAACTTTTAAAAGATTAAGATGTTGTTACTAGAAAATGATCGGTTCTATAAAGTAATTTTTTTTTATAGATGTGAATAATAACATAATATTTTCTTATTTTACATATAAGAAAATATATGTAATTAAATCTGTCATCTGTGTAATTAAAATATAATAGCTAAATTTAAACATATAAAATTTTAAATTAATATCTCTAAATTTAAAGTAAAGTTTTCTATTATAAAACTAATTTATAACTTTTTTTTTTAGGAATACATAATTATTATGCTTTATTTGTGTTCAAGTATATAATAGTGAACATCTGGTCATTTTCTCCATCACTATGTATGAATCACCTGCTTCTTTACAAGAATATTGTGTAGAATTTGTTTGTGAAAATATTTCTGTTATTTGTGATAGAAAGACAAATAATACCATTTCAAAATGTGATGAAAGTGCTGCTGGGTATGTATTTAGGAATCCAGATGCATTTTTTCATACTGAGATATCACAACAACTATTGGAGATTCTTAGTGAAAAAGGACATTTAAATGATCAAATTTTAACATTATTTGGTTCTCGTGTTACAAGACTACAAAAAGTTCGAATCCATAATGCAGGCAATATCACAACACGTGGATTACGGGTTTTACGATCACATAAAATTACAGAATTAGAAGTAAACGGCTTATCAAAAGTAACTGTTAATGATTTGATTGGTTGTCTTGGGGATTGGACTTTACACAATTTAAGATTACTCAATGTTTCCAATAGTACTTTTACTAATAGTGGAAAATTTTGTGTTGTTGTAGCACTTTCAAAACTTCGAAATTTACAAACTCTTAATGTTAGTAACACAGAATTCAACAGTCATGGATTAGAAATCATCACAGAAGACTTGCCACTTTTAGAGAATTTGGATATATCAAGTACTCGAGTAAAAGATATCACCCCATTAAGAAAATGTAAAGATAAATTGAAATCACTCAATTTATATAATTTAAAAATTGTGAATTTTGAAGAAGTAGTGCCATTATTATGCGAACTGTATCAACTCCGTTATCTTGATTTATCAGAAGATAAAGATCATCCATTAGAAATGCTTTCACCGCTCAGATATAAAATATCTGATCTGTTAAATAAACCATTTTGTCTGCCTCATCTTTATTCACTTGATATTTCTGGAAAGGATGGTATTGATATAGAAGATTTAAAGTAAGTGATTAAATATATTTTGGTTAATAATAAATATATATTTTATATAATTACAATTCTTAATATATATTAAAAATAAAATTTATTTATATTAGATTTTTAATTTTAAGAAAATAATAATGTAATAATAGATATAAGTGAATCAGTTCTTTGAAAATTTTGTTTGGAAGTTATTGACAAGACTATGTCTTGTTTATAAAATTGTACTGCTTGCTGTGTTACTAGCTTGGAGTTATGAAGGAGTACATGTCAGGAATTGCAATTTGGCATAGAGTATTAGGTGTCCAAATCATGCGCACATAAAAAAAACCAGACCTGTAGGTACTCAAGGAACCGAGAACCGAGTCAAAATAAAATACAAAGTGGTGACTCTCTCTACAAACAGGCAAACCGAAGTCAGGTGGTGAGAGTACCACCCACAATCGTTCTAGGAAGTGGACTCTGACCCTAGGACTGAGCATGTAGTATTTTCTTTGTTAAATAAAATTTGTAATGTATAAGGATCTTGAATAAGTTCTCGCTGTTTTTTTGTGAAAATTAACACTTTATTTTAAAAAAGTCGTAATAAACACGTCACTGAAAGTATTGTCTATCACTAGCCACTACTTTCTCCCATCGTTCTGGCAGCATTTGAATTCCATGTCGGAAAAACGACACGTTTTTTGAGGCTATCCAAGAATCAACCCATTTTTTGGCATCTTCATAAGAACGAAAGTGCTGCTCAGCCAGGCCATGTGACATCGATCGGAACAAGTGATAATCGGAAGGGGCGATGTCTGGTGAATATGGCGGGTGGGGTAGGACTTCCCATTTAAGCGTTTCCAAGTACGTTTTCACCGGTTGTGCAACATGTGGCCGAGCATTGTCATGTTGCAAAATCACTTTGTCGTGTCTCTGCTCATATAGCGGCCGTTTTTCCTTCAATGCTTGGCTCAAACGCATCAATTGTAGTCGATAGCGATCTCCCGTGATAGTTTCGTTTGGTTTGAGCAGCTCGTAATAAACTACACCTAGCTGATCCCACCAAATGCAGAGCAGAAGCTTCGAACCATGGATATTCGGCCTTGCTGACGATGTTGATGCATGACCGGGCTTACCCCACGATTTTCTACGCTTAGGGTTATCGTAGTGTATCCATTTTTCGTCACCTGTCACGATACGATGCAGAAAACCTTTCCTTTTCTGCCGTTGAAGCAGCTGTTCACATGTGAAAAGACGCCGTTCGACATCTCTCGGCTTCAACTCGTACGGCACCCAATGTCCTTGCTTTTGAATCATTCCTAATCCTTTTAAACGTTTCGAAACTGTTGTGTGATCAACTCCTAATGATTCTGCAAGTTCAGCTAGCGTCTGACATGAGTCTTCATGAAGTAATGCCTCTAATTCCTTGTCTTCAAACTTTTTTGGTGCACCAGATCGTTCTTTATCTTCAACATCAAAATCATTATTTTTGAAGCGTCTAAACCAATCTCTGCATGTTGTTTCCGACAGAGCATGGTCGCCGTAAGTCTCAACAAGAATTCTGTGTGCTTCAGCTGCAGATTTTTTTTGAATAAAATAGTGCAATAAAATTCCCCGCAAATACTCTTTTTTTGGCACGAAACTAGACATGTTTAACACAATGAAAAAATAAGTTGTTTACACTTCGGTAAAATGACATATACTGAATTTCAAGGTCACTTATTGTACTTCCTTACAGATGCGTCACCATCTAAAAATAAACACACGTGGTTCTGGTAACGCCATCTGTTGGAAAACAGCGAGAACTTATTCAAGGTCCTTATAATTTTGTAAATTTGGGAGTGCTTCAAATATGACATTAAAACAGGGTTTTATGTTGTTACAAGTAGGTTTTTTAACATTATCTAGTATAGTAAAATTGTGGAACTGATAAAAATTTGACGTTATATTAGGGATGTCGCTACAACTGATGACATTATAATCGGGTTAAACTGTATATTGTCTGTGCAAAATAAAAAAAATTATTTTGGACGATACAATAACCACGATTATTTTTCAGAAACGGGACATTTTCATTATGTATCGACAAAAATTCAACCCGGGCTGACACGCAATGAAGAGAAATTTTGAAGTTGGATAGGTTAATTTCATCAAAAATGCATCGCTTAGTAGTGAGTCTCCGAGACATAGTCTTGTCCCAAATACAGTTTTGCTGTTTTAATTGTTTTGTTTTAAAGTCTCTGCAAAACAAAAAAAAAAAAATCAATTTGTGATTGCCATTTTTAGTAAACTCTTTCTCCAACAAAATATAATTCTATGTATCCATTTTTTACTTTTCTATTTCATTCTAAAATAACTATTAGTGAACTGATTATTATATATCTTCTTTTTTTTATATGATGAATAGCCTGCATGTAACAGCAAAGAAGAGAACAAATGTTCTTGGTTATATTTCATAAAGAACAATTTGCCTGCCAAAGCTGGGCAAAAGTACTCTGTTTTCATTAAATTTTGTGTTTGTTAATGTCGCAGTTTGATTCTCTCTTTTTAATTCATAAATTATATTTCTTAGAATTATAATTTGTTTATATTTTATATTTGAGAAAAATTTTGACCATCCCATGATCTAACTATTATTAATAAAAACTTTTAATTTTTTGTGTGTGGCTGTAATATTTCAATTAAGAAATCTATAAAAACCTACATTACATTAAATAATGCAAAATGTGATTATAAAGTTGTTTTATATACTTTCTAAAAATGGAATGATTAAAGTAAAAAATATATTTTTAATGACCTTAAAAATTGTACATAAGAAATTTAAAAATGAAAAGATTAAGTTACAGTAGCGCATCGATTATCTGACTGAATTGGGGACTCGGGTTGGTCGGATAACTGAAAAAATTGGATAACCGAAAATAATGAAAAAAATACATTATTAGTATAGTATATTAGTATATCCCATGTAATTAGTATATTAGTATTTCGCTATTAAGCTGTTTCGCGTTGAATTTTCATCGATTTTAAGCCTAACAATTTTTTTTTAAAATAATAATTGTCTCTATTGTATCATTAAAAATTATTTTATTGCTAACAAAACAAACAACCACGCATAATTAGAAAATTAAGTCTCATTTAAATACTGGCCTCCCTTTCATGATTGAGCCAGGTGAAACATGCAAAAGTTAACAAAAATAATATTAAAGTAGCCAAGACATAGCCAAATATTGTAGCGCCACATCACTACCGGACATTTGAAATTTGCTGACTAGAATGGTCGGTTAACCGATGTGATGGTTAATCTGGGGGTCGGATAATCGATGCTCTACTGTATAAATGTAAAAAAAAAATACAACTTATCATATAAGGACTGAACCCAAGAAAAAAGCCTCCATACATGACATCTTACTGATCACACCATGCTGCTACTTTATGAATCAGTGTTCCATATTGGTATTAATGGTTGTAGAAAACTTTTATCCTAATTTTAATGAGTATGCCTGACTAGTGGGTCCAGTGGCTTTGGCAGAGTTTCAGTACTGTACAAATAAGTACCGCGCATCCACAAAATTGTATTGAAACCAGTGATGACAAACTACTGGGTTTCTCTTGTGAGATGCCATGTTTTAAATCAAGAGTAGCCCAAGGCAAGTATTTGTTTTTTTCTCTTTCACTGTTTTGAAATACCGTATTTACTCGCTTATAAGACGAGATGTGACTTTAAGGATCAAAATAAAGAAAATTAGATTTATTAATACAGTAGAGCCTTGAAAACTCGGACTCGATAACACAGCACTCCGGATAACTCGGCCACACCCTGGCAGGGCAAAAAAATCCTTAGTTAATTAATTTTCATGATAAAGACAGCTTTATGCCTCATAAAGTATTTTTCTGAGGTCTGTCTTATCAGATAAATTACTGTACAGTGTATTCATTAATTTTCATTTTCATGTAGTAAAGGCTCTATGCCTTCATAAAAGACGTACTTTTCCTTTGTTTAAAGGTATTTGGGCAGTTTATTCTCTGTTGTATTCTCAAGTAAACAATACATACAAGTACAGTACAGTATTTTTTGAGGAAACACTCATACTTTTTTTTTAACCCCATTCCCGATAACCTGGCATTTTCACAAACTCAGCCACCCTTCAGTCCACATTAGGCCGAGTTTTCGAGGCTCTACTGTACAATTTAATTTTATTTCATTTAATCACAAGTAAGATGTCAAATGTAAATAAATGCACACATTGTCCCACAAAAATTACTTGCATTTTAAACTTCAAGGAAAAATCTTGTAAAATTGACAACATAATTTGTTCATGTAAAGCTGGACAATTGGAAATCTTTTTTGCCAATTCTTAACAGTCAAATCCACTCTTCGTCGATTACACTTCTGAGTTTCTCCGAATTTTGATTACCAAATAATCATCTCTTTTCGCATGGGAATGGATTAAAATTTATATTGAGCTCCTGTGTGATTTTGGAATTTCAAATTGGAATTCATTTCAAAAGCTTTGCTTTTCTATTGCTATTCATCTCCTGACAATACACAAGAATGATTGAAACAACCCAGATAAAATACTTTTGTTTTTAAACACCAGACAGAGAGCATCTGGTAAAAAATGCAAAGATAGTGTTGACAAAAATTATTGCAAAAACACAAAGAATCCTTTGCTCGTGCATATAGGACGAACTAGATTTTTGAAACAATGAAAAATGAGTAAAAACCTCGTCTTATATGAGAGTAAATATGGTATTAATGTTTGTGAAGAGAGAGTTACAGAAAACAGGCATATTATTTTTTCTTTTTTCTATTTAATGAATCTATTACTTTTATAGGAATTGCAATTGTACAAATACAAACTCTAAAACCTTCTAAAGCAGTGAAAAATTTATTTATTCAAATGTTTTTAATTGTCTTAAACAATCTCGGAGTGAACATCTAACAGTTTTTCTAGAACATATTTGCTTTACAGAATGCATTTGATGGAACAAATTTTGATTTTATAAGCTCATATTTTGATAAATAAATAAATACAAGCATAAATATATACAAATAATAAAGTTTAAAATATCGTTCAGTATCGCTATGCAGCAATACTTCTTACACTTCTGGTATTATGCTAACATCCTTGAAATTAATTGCCTGCTCTTTCAATGTAACATTGTAAATGTGCCAGACTTCTTCATATTTTATTTGTTCCTCTGCAATCTCAATATTATTTTAGCATGGTTCCATAGAACAGAAACCGATTGGGGGTCAGCCAATACATATGTTGCCAATGCAGTGCTGTAGTTGGATTTACTGATGTCATTTTTATGTTTCTTGATTCTCACTGCTAATGACCACAAAGTAGCCCCTACATAACATAAATCATTTACTCTCTTGTTGCTTCTTATGGGGATTTTGTATACTTTTAGAATGCAGAATAAATCAATTGGTTTTTGTTGTTATGTTGTAATTCATACATGATGGGATTCCTTTTGAATACACACTGATCAGACAATTCATTAATCTTGAGAACAAATTGTATGAGCAGTCAACACAACTTTAAATCATGTGATTTTTTTTTCCCCCATTAATTTTGTGCTGCAGAAATTTAATAGAAGTTCGAGTGTGCTGTGAGGTAAAAAAAAAATTTGAAAAACAATTCTAAATAAATAATAAAAAATTGATGAATATTTCTTATCTTATTAAAACTAATGTTAATAATTAATGTTTATATCTAAAAATTATTTTAGAACGTAACAATTATTTAATATCTAAAAATTATTTTAGATATAAAATAATTGTTTTGTTCTAATAATAATAAATATATTAAATTTTTAGTGTAAGATATTTTCTAACATTTTTCTGAACAATATTTATGTGAAAATATAAGTAAAATATAAAGAATTTATATTTCAAGAAAGTAATTTTGGTAACCTTAACTTTAGCAGTTTACTTTTTTTTTATATAACTAAAAATATTGAAAAAACCTAAGATCTTTCAAAAAACAATCTAAAATTAATATGAATACACAAAAGTTCTTATGCCAATATGTTTACAAAAACATTTAAATATTTAACATCTGATCTCATAATTTATAACTATGCATTTAATACGTTATAGGTTAGAATGAAGATATAATGTATAACTAAACTAAATATTTTTCAAATGTAAAAGTACTACTAAACACACACATTTACTCTCATTTATTATATAAATAGTATATTGTTATATTTTCCTGATTTAGTGTGGTTTTTGTTGTATTGGACATAAATTTTTTTCTATAAAAATATATATATATAACAGAGAGAGAAAATGAGCAGTTATATTAGGAATAAGTAATAATTTATTTAATAAATAATTTTTTATTTTACAGGACTTTCTTAAAACTTCATCCTAATATAAAGTTCCTTGGTTTAATGTTGACAGAAGCTTGTTTTGATGATATGTTTACAAAGGAAACAGATCCATTATATAACCCAAATTTAGTGGTGATTATTTTAATTTTTAAAATTATTCATTATATGAAAATATGCTGTTTTAATTTTTATAGCAGTTTTGTAGAGAATTTTATAATGATATAACATTATTATTATTATTAATAAATAGTATACTGATAATAATTAATATACAAATGAATGAAATTAATTAGTATTTTAAAGGGACTTAAAAATTGGCACTTTGTATTAACTGGATTCATTAACATTGAAATTGACTATCTTTCCTTGCTCAAGGGATCACAAATCTATTTTATATTAACACAAACTTCACATAAACTGTAACTTATGCAGGTTTTTATAATATATTTAAATACTCACTTTTTCACTCTTATTACAATTACAGCATAAAAATAATGTACTATATTTCTTTAAACTTTGGGGATATATTTTAAAATGCATGTATCCCTCATGGTTTATTAGAAGACTTGGGGTTTTTGTACTATTAAAATTATTTATTGATTGTATTTATGGGTTACTGCTATAACATTTGAAATAATTATTGTTTTCTAGTTAACCTGATTCAGCATCTTCCAATTCAATTATTACATTGTAGTTTGTGTTTCCCACAATGTTGCATGATCTTATCATCTGCTGGTGATACCAGATGGCTGAACAGTTAAGGTGGTAGCCTAATATTCTGGGGGTACCTGGATTGAATCTGGACAGGTTGAAAATCTCAAAAAGTTTTGGAGGTGATATGTCTGGCCACATCCCTCACTCTCTGGCTGCTTCATTGTGGGCATGGCTGAATTCATAATGGCTTTCTAAAAAGGTCCTCTTAGTGGCTACAGAGCAAAAATGGTTTTAAAAAAAAAAGAGAAGAATCATCTTCTAGTTTAGGGATGGTGAACCTTTTTGAGCCTGCATTCCATATAGTAAGCATAGTTAGCTTTAAAAATGTTTATGCATGCTGAAGTTTTGGAGTTTAAGTAATGATATTTAATGAAATGTAATGAATATGCCTTAATTAGAATAAATGTAATAAAGCTGATTGAAAAAAGAATGATCAAGTGATAAACCAAAAGGATGAATGAAAAACATAGATTATGATTAATTAAAATCAAATGATTTGTTACATGCCAGATGATTTCTCCTTATTTGCCACTTTGGGTATGCATGCCATAGGTTTGTCACCCCTGTTCTAATTTCAACTTACCATTGCTCTTGGAAAGAGATGGTGAGTTTGAATCAGAATTTTCCTAATTGCCCTTCAGCTGATAAGCTCTTGATTAATGAATTTAATTGCAACTTCCTTTTCTTAGAATTTGACAATATTTATAACTTTATTTCAAAAAATGTTTTCACAAATTTGAAATAGTGCTGTCTAACTTCAGACCAGCATTTCTCACTTTTTGCTTGCACTACCCAATATTTGTAATGGTTCTGTGACCCAAATGTTTATAATATAAACTTTATTAAAAATCTGGTAAACTGGGTCATTGTATATTATATAATGAAATAAAATTATGTATTATTGATGATAACTTCTGTGTTTGAAATGTAACATTGAGTACATTTCTATTGAGAGTGATTCAGGCCAATTTCAATTTGTAACAAATTATTAACTTCCATTTCAATTTTAATGATTGAAATTTAACTATTAAGAAATGTAAGACTGAATATTGTAAATAAAACACTGTTTCAAAATTATTTGGGAGTCAATTTTGCTTTGGAAAATATTACAAGTTTTTATTTTATAAGCTTATAATGAACCCGTTTTTAAAATGTACTTTTAAGATTGTAAGATGATTTTGTCAATTTCATTTTGTATATATATGAAAAAAAATTCTTTAAAAATTATTTATTGATTCACTTGTGCCAAAATTCATCTTATTTTTTTTTATAATTTATTGTTATGTATGACAATGAATCTAAAAGTTTGAATAAACAAGGAAATATTTTCAAAACCATTGAACTTAAACGGTTTTATGACTATGACCTTATGTAAAAAATCTGTTTTGATATTATTCAAAACAGAAAAGAGAAATCAGTTTTATATACACACATTTATGTACACTAAATGAAAATAATAAGAAAAAAAGTTGTTAAAAATTTTCAGTAGACTACTTAACAGATGCTTCTATTGTTCCTAGTTCTTAGAAAATATTTCAGTAATTGAAGTATTATGAGTATTTCTGTGGGAGGTGGTAGCATTTTGCATCCCATTAAAATTTAAATGTGACCCAATATTGGGTTGCAATCCATAGTTTGGAAAATACTGATTTAGACAATTTGAAGAATTTTAGTTAAAATCCTTACATGAACATAAAAAAACAACCTTGTTTTCAAACCATCAGAAAGTTTTAATGTATTAGACAAACATTTTTGACCTACTAACAGACCAGCATCAGGTCAGTACAACTTTACATTCTATTTTAGAATGTGAAGTTGCATTGGCATTGACCTGATGCTGGCTTGTTAGTATGTTTGTATAATATATTAAAACTTTCTGCTGGTTTGAAAATTGGGTTGTTTTTATGTTATTCATTGTATCCAATTTTGCAATAATAGACTTCTCAGAAACACTGGTGTGAGAAATGAACAGTCACAAACAAAACCTTTCTACTAGTGATGAACTTAAACTTCCAAATGTTTTTGGCCTTCACCAAGGTCTGCTTCAGATGCTGTGAACTAAACTGGCTTTCCACTTGGACCGTTAGAACGATGCTGCCCAGTTTTTAAACATTATATATATCAAATTTCACCCCTCTGCCTGACTCCTTCTGAATTTCTCGAACAGGTATCTCTATGCATGCGCAATAGTGTTCCTGTCTTTAACCTGTTTGAGGAATTTGGATGGAGTCAGTCAGAAGGGTGAAATTTGATATATACAATGTTTAAAAACTGGGCAGCATCGTTCTAACGGTCCAAGTGGAAAGCCAGTTTAGTTCACAGCATCTGAAGCAGACCTCGGTGAAGGCCGAAAACATTTGGAAGTTTAAGTTCATCACTGGTAGAAAGGTTTTGTTTGTGACTGCTCATCCAATTTTGTTTGAGTATTTTTGTGAACTCCTTACAATCCACTCTAAACTACATATACAGTGAAGAATTCAAAAGAATTGAAAATGTTTTTGAAGTACTCAAATAAATGCCAAATTGAAAAGCATGTTTCCATGCTTTTCAATTTGGAACTTATTTGAGAATCCTGAGATTTACTAAAGGAAATATGGTAACTTTATCATTATATGAAGGTCATTTTATAAGTAAAGAACATTTGTTTCTCTAGATATTTTTATATAAGATAATGAAACAAAACTTATTTTACAACACATATGATACCTTAGCTATTTTTCTACTTAGTCGCCATACAAATTTAAACATTTGTTATAGCATATCACCAGCTTTTCTATGCCTTCTACACACTCGGTTACCGCCAAGTTTTTGAATCAGTCATTAACGTCCTCTTTCAGTTTGTTGTCACTTCCATAGTGATTCCTGGCCAAAAAATCCTTCATTTTTGGGAAAAGATGGTAATTACTCTGAGCCAAGTTCAAGCTAGGAGGATGTTTAAAAACTTCCCACTTAAACTACTCAAGCAAGTTTTGTCAAAGCATCAGCATGTGGAAGTGCGTTATCCTGAAGAAGCACAATGCCTCTGGACAACAGTCCCTGCTGTTTGTTTTGAATGGCTCATCATAGTCAGTGAATATTTACAGACAGATAAACCTCAGTTATCTGTCTGTAAATTTCAATAGGACAGACTGTTTTTTGCATTCAAAAAGCATATTACACTATGAACATTTGGCATTTATCACATTTGGCAGAATCTTTAATTTTGTCACACATTTCAAAGTCACACTATATACAGTAAACGATCATTGCTGCTTGCTGTTAGTGTCAGACTGGCGTGAAAAAATGGGAAGGTTCCGTGAAGTGGAGGTGGGGGAGAACTGCACAGCTTGTCAGATCAAAACATTCTTTTCTTTTAGAATGACTCTCGTAAATATATTGTTTATTAAATTTTTATTAAATATTTAAATTACTGTTTTTATGTACAAATTAAGAGCATGCTCTTAATTTGTACATAATGTATGTGCCAGTTTGTACATCTTGTATGTGCCAGTTTGTTTAGCTTATAAGAGCACTTCATTGGTGTGTTAATATAAATTAAATGTAAATGTATTCATACAGTAATTATTCAGTGACATCTCTAGAGTAACCATTATTAAAAATCGAAAGCCAAAATTTAAAAACAAAAAATGCTTTTGATACTATAAAAGACTTAAAAGCAGTGAGTTTTTTTTAGGTATATTGAGAATTATATGGCCAATTTTTTCCCATGTATAAGAACATTCTCTTATNAAACATTTATGCAAAAATAAAATTTGAATTTTATTCTCTGATTTAGAATTTTTAATAGGTTGTTGACTTAATAATTTGCTTTGTTAAATTTCAATTTTTTTATTAATAATATATTAATATTTACAGTTAGTGTTACCTGTCATGCAGCGTCACTCTAAAGTCTTAGTTATTCAAATGGCTGCTACTGCTTGTCTTTACAATTTGTCAAAAAGTAACTTAGGACAGCAAATTCACCCAAAATGGCTTAAACAAGTAGTTGAACTTACTTTAAATGCTATGGAAAACTTTCCAACACATCAGCAAGTAAGTAAAATTATATTTAACTTTGATAACTGTTATAATTTAAAAATTTGAAAGTATTACCATATCTACAGATACAACATAATTTAAATGAAATTTGACCTCAAACTTTTAATGTATTTATTTTTCCAAAAGGTTCAATATAAATCATAGTCACTGAAAATAGTAAAAAATTACTTTTACTTTTCCTGGACTTAATGTTGTTGTTTTAAATTTTTACAATATACATAGCTTATTTCTTTGATTCTAAGATACCTTGCTTTTGCTTATTTTTATTTATATGAAAAATAGATGTTTCTCAAAGGCAGATTTAACATTATGCACCCTTTAATCTACAACCTTTTTGTCATTCTCTTAGGTAACAGATTGCCTTAATAACATTAAAGAAACTTCTTTAAACTAAAATTATATTTATTGCCTTTAAAATTATTATATATTTATATATCTATAAGAATTTTTATGAGAAAAATAATTTGGTATTTTATAAAATTTCTGATCTTCAAAATTTGCCATCCTAAGCTTCAGTCTACTTAGTCTTTTGGAAATCTGCCTCTGGTGCATCTTAGAATTGGTGGTATCTTACATTCAAGGTAAAAACAACAATCAGAAGTCATCATGAATGGATCATGTAATGTATTATACACTGATAATATATGTTTCTAACTATCTTGCTCAGTGGTCATGAGTCAATTGCTCTTTGTTGAATACAGATGTTTAATTTAAACTTTTTATTAATGTTTAACATATCTTCAAAAGATGACATGATACAGTACAGTAGAACCTCGATTATCCGGACTAATTGGGGATGAAGGTAGTCCGGATAAGGAAAAATCCGGATAATCGAAACAAATACTTTAATTTGTCTTTTAAAGATAATACAACACGTTTTCTTTTCGATNCTTGAAACATTCTCTTATAATCAGAAAACAGTATAGTGATTTTGTTTATTTTGCATTTATCAATGTAGTATTTTTGTTAATGTAATATGCACTGAAGAAAACATTTATTTGTAACATATCATGCTATATTTATATAAATAAATGCTAGATCTAATTTGAAATGACAAAAACATAGTTTAATTAAAATTTCATTAGTAAGAATATAAAGCATTGCTAATACTGCCCTGGCCTCTGGCAGTATCTGCACACTTTTGATAGCAGCATTACCTCTGAGAATTGGCTTTTAAAATCTCTTAGTCTGTATTTCATATATATCAATGCTTATATTTGGAATAAGATGAACAAGATCTTAATACAAATGCAATCAAATTCTTAACTACAATCATTTAGTTCTTCCAAGAGTTGTAAAAGCAAGTAATTTATCATATGGCATTCAAGACAATCTGGAGTTGTCCCTTCTGTTAGGATTAAGTTGCATATCTTATTTCTGTTACAGCATAAAAGAAAACAATAATTTCACTGTGTTTCATTGCATATCACTTTCATAGTTGTTATATATTTTTTAGATTTAGTACTGTTTGTATTGCTATATTGTATTACAATATGTTAATGTTTTTAAATTAAGTCTAGAATGTCATTATGTGATTCATTTAAGAAAGGACTAAAAACTGATGTTTTATGTTAGTTAGATTTTTTTCAAAATATAATGTTTTTTATAATGATATTTAATATAGTATAACAATATATATATATTGTTATACTATATTAAATATCATTATAAAAAACATTATATTTTGAAAAAAATCTAACTAACATAAAACATCAGTTTTTAGTCCTTTCTTAAATGAATCACATAATGACATTCTAGACTTAATTTAAAAACATTAACATATTGTAATACAATATAGCAATACAAACAGTACTAAATCTAAAAAATATATAACAACTATGAAAGTGATATGCAATGAAACACAGTGAAATTATTGTTTTCTTTTATGCTGTAACAGAAATAAGATATGCAACTTAATCCTAACAGAAGGGACAACTCCAGATTGTCTTGAATGCCATATGATAAATTACTTGCTTTTACAAATCTTGGAAGAACTAAATGATTGTAGTTAAGAATTTGATTGCATTTGTATTAAGATCTTGTTCATCTTATTCCAAATATAAACATTGATATATATGAAATACAGACTAAGAGATTTTAAAAGCCAATTCTCAGAGGTAATGCTGCTATCAAAAGTGTGCAGATACTGCCAGAGGCCAGGGCAGTATTAGCAATGCTTTATATTCTTACTAATGAAATTTTAATTAAACTATGTTTTTGTCATTTCAAATTAGATCTAGCATTTATTTATATAAATATAGCATGATATGTTACAAATAAATGTTTTCTTCAGTGCATATTACATTAACAAAAATACTACATTGATAAATGCAAAATAAACAAAATCACTATACTGTTTTCAATTTCNAAGTGGGATTTGATTAATGTGTAAAATTAATTGCAGCAATCCCTTTATATATGCGGCAGAAGTTTTAATTTATGCAGCATTACCAGCTATCTTTACTTAACATGTATTTTGATTAATGCGATTTTGAAATATGTTGGTAGGATTGAGAGATTAACTAACTGTGTTAATCAAGGGATACCTGTATATAGTATATGTTAGGAGCAGAATTATGAATTAATGGTTTAAATAAGTTGAATTTGGTGTGTATGTATATATATATATATTAATAATAAATAAAATATATATTTATATTGTTAAATGCAAAAATCATAATTATAAAAAATTTATTTTTTAGTTGCAAAAAAATACCTTATTGACTTTATGTAGTGATAGAATATTACAGGAAGTGGTAAGTTTTTTACTTTGTTTTCATATACGATTTATTAAAATGCACTAAGTAAATTGCTAAGTTGAGGAAACCAATAGTTAATTTGAAAAGTAATGTTTTCAGGCCCATTTGACCCATCATTAGCTCTTCTTACAGAACTTAAAACCAATGAGAACACAGAAAATGAATGTATGATTATGATAGCTTATTATGATAGCTTATTATTATCGGTCAAGAGATGGCATTATTCCTCAATAGAAATTTAATTATTAGCAGAAGGTATATAGGTTTTAGTTCTCGAGTTGTGCTTCATAGTGCCAAAATTGCTATTTGGTGATAATTTTATTAAAATGGTGATAAAAACCCTAAAGTCTTCTTATTTCAACATTTAACCTTTCCTATGTTGATCCCAAAAATATTTGTGTTGACCTCATTGACCTGCGTGGGCAATCCCGAATATTTCCATATTTACATCGGAACGTTTTTGATACTAGATGTTGCTTTGTGTCACAATTTTTATATTAAAGCAAACTTTTAAAATAAAACTTTTTTGTTTTTATATTATTCAATGTATATATTTTGTTTGTGAAACATAAAAAAATAATTTTTTATGATACAGTAAACACGATTATTATTTAAAAAAAAAATTAGGCTTAACATCGACGAAAATTCAACATGGCGTCACAGGCAACAAAAAAAAATTTCAACATCGAATAGGTTAATGTGAAATTAAATCACAAAGCATGCTTTAAGAAAAACAGCAGAATGTTGAGCTGTGCACCACACACCTATCAATGCCATTTGTCACATGGCAAATCCAGACAGAAAAAAAAGAAGTGTTGTTAAGAATTGAAGGCAGTTTTCATGCAATGCTATGCAGTGTTTCCAGATTGGGGATTTTTTTCTATATAGACAAACAAATTTGAAGAAGTTTTTGGATGAAACTTTTTCACTTTGATCTCTTTTCAGTAGACTAAAGCATAAAAATTTTAACATGACAGAACATGTGAAATATTGTTTAAGCATTGTAATCAAATATGTTGTTTGAAATTGTTCATTAAAAAATTATTTGTATTTATAAGTGACAATGTAACATGTTACTTTTGCATTCCAGACTCCAAGCTGATAAGTCTACCAGCAACTACATTAATTATTAAATAAAACTAGTGGCAAAAAAATTTTAAACTAGCAAAATGGTTGGTGTTTTTTTTTTTTTAAATTTTCCAGTGTGACCTCTTGTGTTAGTTCTTTTAAGCCTCTATAAGATTATTTAGATGCTTTATTGTTTAATTTGTATTTCTGATGAGACAAAGATTTTTATCTATAAAGTTCTAGAGTCTCTATGGGTTCTCTGATTTATAGTGATAAAATTAAGATTGAAGTTGAATAAGTTGTGGCTCTGGTAATAGATACAAAGACACATCAAATTAATATGAGAAATATAAATGTGCTACTCATTTGGGATAATGACAAATATATTTAATTTTTTTGTTTTTTAGAAGATATCACAATAACTCATCAGTATTAGATTAGCTTTGGAATAAAGTAGTAGTTGGACTCTGACTTATTTAGACATTTCTGTTTTTAATTTGACCAAAGTATTGTACCAAAGTATTTCTTAAGCTTATATCAGTTGATACATTGGAAGTTTTATAACATTGTGTTACATAAACTGGTGGCCTTCTGCACATTGATAAACTGTGCCATCATTTATCCCACAATCACAATGCACAGGATGAGAGGTTTGTACTACTGTTGTCCAGCATGGCTTTCTTAGAAAGGTCGTGAAAGGTCTCATTAATAAATGCCTTCTAAATTTAATAACAAAAGGAACATTTAAAATATTATACTATCATAGATAAGTACTTTGCTTCTATAATCTTATGATTTTACATACAGGATACACACATATGTATAAGTGTTAAAAGATTGACTACAGTGATACAAATCTTAAGACGTTAACGGCTATCCAATGTGCCAGAGGTCATACTAATTTGCAGCCATACAGAGCCATACGACTGCTTGACGTCGCTATAACCAATGTAGTTTCACTCAAGGTTAAATTATCCTGGCTTTATAAGACATTGTTTTACATTATTCTTTCTCAAAATGTGTGATAACACTTCCTTGTGGGCGCTGGAGGCTTTCAGGGGGCAGTAGAAGGCTCAGTGATATAAATATGAGTTTTATTTCTTCTCATTGAAACATTTTTTGATCTCAGAAATAGGATATGGGTCACATCCTATCCATATAATAATGCATGTTTAAACATTATATTTGCAATAACTGTTTTTAAGATATGCAATAGATGGTAATGTAAAAAGGTAAGTTAAAAAATATGGGGGACTAGATTTTTTTTAATCTCAAAGTAGGCAATGGTCAAAATAAGTTTGAAAACCTGTATTTTACAACCTAGTGGTGGCCTCTCGCACACATTTATAAAGTTGGCTCCAACAGCCAATGCGTCATATGGCTCTGTACGGCCGTAATTCATATGACTGCTGGTGTGTCGGATGGCAGCTAACATGTTAAGAAGGGACAAGAACCAAATCAATGATGAGAATAAGCTAGGAATATAAATGATAAAACCGGTCAAACATACAGATAGTTTCTACTATATTGGATCTATGTATCGATCCTTATCAAAGAGGATCAAGGAACATTACACTTTAGTTACTAGAGACCCTGCCAATATCCACTTTGTTATTCTTTTGGGCTTTACAATTGACAATACAGGTTATGTGGACCATTCCTGTTTTAATCAGAGAAACAGGACTGCCCTCTCAGCTTAGATTATTAGAACAGTTATAATTTTGTCTAAACATGCTAGATTAATTAATCATAATGTCCAAGACTTACAAGTAGCTTGGAATGGTGGTTAGATAGTTCTGATTTCTTCACTTGTAGAAAGGTTTCAGCCTAGTTTGCTTAAGTGCATGGACTGCAGATATTTAACATATTCTTATTAAATTAAACAGTTCCCATCTGTTTTCCATTTTTAAGTCATTTGAATTTTATAACTTTTATATTATAGACTTCAACATTTAATATTGTTCCAATCACAACTATTAATTTTGAATTTTATTCTAATTATTCTAAAATCAACTGTCAGTTAAATTTTGTGCTTTCATTTGTTTTAAGTTCTATAGGAAGAATTGATGATGGATTAAATGGGCCCAAAAACATTACTCTTCGAATAAAACTTTTGGTTTCCTCAACTTAGATCTTCATTTATTGGATTTTGAACATAACATGGTACAAGCTTCAGACATCTCTGTAACATGATTTATTAATTTTTTCATCTTTTATCAATTCAAATCAAAATTATGTTCATTTTGTCAATGTTAACTAAATTTAAAATTCAACTAAAATTAAATTTATATTCTGTTATGTTTTAAAAATTATATTTGGTTTAAATATTTATAANGTGTTGTTAACGATTTCATATGTAATTATTTATAAATTTTGAATTCTTCAAATTGAAATGAATCATATATTAATACGGTAACTGAATTTTTTTCTCTTAAATACTTATAAGGAATATTATAGAAAACATACAATAAAAGCTGAGCATCATAAATCTAAATTTTCAGAAATATTTTCTAACTATGTTAAATTAATTAACTGAATAATTTGGCCTAAAAGAGAATTCTTAGGGTGGGATCCTACACCTAATTGAAATTGCCCAATAATTTTGTCAGGATGACACCAATTGATTTATTATTAAGAACCATAAACTCACTTCACACAAATAGAAGTTTTTGCTTTTTATATCGACAAATTCATGATTGTTGAAAAAAAATGACAGAAATTACTTTTCCTTTCTTGTTAGAAACAGTATTTAATTTTATCTAAGTGCATTGTTTTTACTGTGAATTGCTGGACAATGCAATTTTATGCACTCACATTTACACATATTATGGGTTGAGAGAGAGATTTGGAAGTTGGCAAATCGAAATGGGTTTCTAGATGTAAATATGTGTGCAGATAGATTATCACTTGAGATCTTTCCTTTGAGATGGTTGACAGGTGTTGAAAAGTTTTGTTCTAATCCATAAGGACAGGAATGTCTATCCTGGGGCCATATTCTGGTCACTGTCTTTGGTCTCTCGCAAGCCGGTTGCTGATTGGCTAATCAGTTGGATTAGCCAATCAGCGACCGGCTTGTGAGAGATCAGAGACAGTGACCAGAATACGGCCCCTGATTTTATTCTATGCAGACCTCTCCTGTAATCTTTCATTAGTGGATATTTAAGTTATCTCTCTTTTTGATTGGTTTCTTGAACTATCAACACTTATTCATTGGAGTTATCCATGGAATTATTATTCTGTCTGGAGAAACTTCTTCCACTGTATTTTCATCTCAATCTTAATTTATATTTCTGGAATCACAAGCAAAATAATCCTATTTCTGAGTAAAAACAATTGACCATCTTATATGTAAATTTACAGTTCACACCCAATATAAACTTTTATTTTTCTTTTATTAACCTAAAGTTTGATCTAGCTATTTGTCTAACATTTTCTTGTTCATAAGTCAAGTAACTTAGAATCATCTGACTTGTGTAATTTCCTCTATACTACAGAGATTAGGCCATCATCTTATCTTAAGATTAATAATTAGAATTAACATTATATTTTTATCAATATAACTATTGTTACTATCAAAATCAGAAATTGGTTTTAAAATGACTTTTAATTTAATGAAATAAAGATGTTTTTATTTTTAGGTACTGTCTTCTGAAATGCAAAATTTTTATGATAAATAATTAAATATTCTTTATAACATGGTTTTTTATGATAAATATATTTTCATATTT